ATAAGTGGAAGTGAGCTCTTGTGTTTCCTGATTTTTAAAATATATTTAATATTTCTGTTTTATGTGTGTAAGTGTATTACCTACATGTATGTAAGTGCACTTGTATCATGCAATGCCCACAGAGGTCAGAAGAGGGTGTTACAGGCAGTTGTTAGCTGCCATGTGGGTGCTGGGAATTGAACTCAGGCCCTCTGCAAGAGCAGTCGGTGCTCTTAACTGCTGAACCATCTCTCTAGCCCCGCTTTTTGATTTTTTATAAACAAAAATGACAAAAGATACAAACTTCTTACGGCTTTTTTGCCACTCTAACAAAATGCATCCGTTATGATACATCAAGTGTTCCTCATTTTTCTCTTCTTTAAAATCTTTGTACTTATTACCGTACTATTTAGAAGTTTCTACTACTTTGTTCTTACAAATACTAGTTGTCATTTTCAAATACATTTAATACATAGATACCAGTTCTATTTACATTTTCTTCCCCCCAATTTTTGGGCTGTTCTTATTTGTATGTTTCAACTTTGAAGCAGACCGACTTCTTTAATCTCACACGCTGTCTATCCCCATCTATATTCTTCTCTAAAACCATTCTGTTGGTATTTTTATTTGGGTGGCATTAAATCCACAGAGCTCTTTACAGAGTGCTGACATGGCAAGAGCATATCTGCTTTGTTTGTTTGTCTTTGTGGTTCTTGCAATTTTTTTTGATACAGTTGATATATTTCTTAGAGATCTTCCATGCTATTTAAATTTTTGTTTGCTTCTTTCGGGGGTTGGGAAACCCAGGACCTCACATGTAGTAAGCACATGCTCTGCACTGAGCCACACTTCCAGCTGCTGGTTGCTTTTGTGAGTGAGAACTTTTCTCTTCATAGCTTCTTACTAAATGCTGTGTGTACATGACCGTTCTTGATCTCTGCACACTAGATTTTGTCCTAGGCAATTGTGACACCCTACTACTGTCTTTAGTAGTTGTTTGGTTACTTTCTGCTTTTTGAGTATGTCTTCTACTGAACTGTGCATAGAAGTTACCCCATTCTTCACTGTGATATGCTTTTTATCTTTATTTTTCCTTTCATCACTGGAACAGTGACAAAGGACAGTGGAAAGTAAACACCCTGGTCTTGCTTCTGTTCCTTACCAAGATTTTATACTTATTCTTTGTAATGCTAGACATCAAACCTTAGGCCTTATCCATGCTAGGTATATGTTACTATTGAACACACACCAGTCCTAACAAGAACACTACTAATGCTTTATATTATGCCCCAAGCTGGCCACCTTGGAGCTTATGATAATTTAAGGAGAGTCATATTTTTCACACGTTTTTCTTCAAAAGTGATTTCTGACTGATTCTTTTCACCATATGTACATTGTTTATACACATGTATTATAATGTGCAAAACCTTCATAGGATCATCCCAGCCTCCAAGAAAGACCCCTATTTCTTCATGTTCATCCCATATTTGCTTAAATTACAATCAACTGCTAGTCATAAATGAGTTTATCCTCATTACTCTTTTGAATAATCTTCATTGCTTGGTTTGGTAGCACTGTGTTATATACACCAGTTACTTGTTGCTATGGATTGTGGAGAGAGCCAAAATCTCAGGTATCCCAGGCTGGACTCTCTAAGTAGCCAAGGATGACTTTGAAGTTCTGATCTTCCTGCTTCTACCTCCCTAATATTGGGATGACAGGCTTGCCCCACCACACAGAACATGTGCCACATGCCTAGCTTAAGGCAAGATTTTAGCATGTTTGAATTATTTCCAGAAATCTTCCCAGTTATCTTTTTATTAATATTTTATAGACACAAAATTCTAGCAGTTGTTGTTTACATCCAGAGCTGGCTTACTCCACTGATTTCTGTGCCTCCCTGATCTCTGTGCCCCAGTACGGGGCTTTGTTTTCATCCGTTTTCCTTGCTGAACAGTGCCCTTTAGCAGACCTTCCTGAGAGGCTTGAGGATAACAAACTTGGTTTTTGAATTCTGAAAACATGCATCTCCTCTCCTGACAGTCTCCAGTTGGGGTTTTCTGGCTACAGTTTCAAGATACTTTATTTCTTATCCTGCCTTTAAGATAATTGTCACTTCACTGTAAAGTGATCAATATGTCTTTTCTTTCCCAAGGCTTTGGAAGCTTCTTGTTTCCTTAGTGGATATTCAGTTTGACCTTTCTAGGTCAAAGTTATTGGTATTTATTTGTCCTGGCACAAAATTCTCAGTCATTGTTTCCATTACTTGGCTACTGCTTGGCTTTGCAGAACTGTTCTTCAGGTTCTCCTTAGGGGATCCTTCATAAGTGGGAGTCCTCAGTTTCTCCTGTCCATCTTGGGACTTTGCCTGCACATTACAGTATTTTCTTCCTGTGAGTCAGTATCCAGGTATGCTCCCCAGCACCACCATGTTGCTTCCCACCTGTCTTTTCAAGGCAAATTCATTCAGCTTGTGCAATTTTTCTTTTCTATCCAAGGATTAGATAATTCAAATTCTGTCATGGTTGTTAAACATAACTATTAGATCTTTCAAAATGCCCATTATATGTGGTTCTGGAGGGTAATTTTTTTGTCCCATTTTTCCAGTGGATTTATTCTTTCTAATTGATCATTTTCCTCACATACTTAAGAAGCATGTCCTGTAGAGTTGTCTGGAGAGGGAGTGAAGATGGTGCTCCTTCCCATCTTCCTCCATATAGTTTGACATCATGTGCACTCATTCCCAATTCATAACTGGCCTTTCTTCATGGCACCTAGTTCCTGTGTGGCAGTAACTGGAGATATTCTCTGTAGAAAGATTCCTTGATCTTCATGCACCATCACTAGGTGCCCTGACCCTCCCCTCCACCATTGCATATTTCTACTTTAAAAATATATCTTATCTTTTTATAGATTTTGAAAATTGGAAATTGAAGCTTTAAACTCGCAACACTGTTTCTCAACACGTGCACCTGCTTAAAATGCCTTAATTATAATGAATCTTCACTGAGCCTTTCCTTTCTACCACCTTGATACCATCCTTAATCTCTATCGCCATCCTTTTTCAACAGGACTTTTCAGTCCTCAACTTGTTTGTATTCTGAAGTTTGTGGCATAGCTAACACCCTGTCTTTATTTAATACATATCTATTGAATGCCTGCAACATACTAGAAGCCAGAGAGACCAGAGCCAAGAGATGTCCTGTCATAACTGGCTCCTAAATTCAGATAGGATTACTAGTGAGCTAGAAGGACAATAGCTCAAGATGAGGGAAGACATGAAGAAATATGTACAGTGGATGCCTCAGCTTATTTTCCATAACAGAATGCCACAGACTAGGTAAAGTATAAAGAATAGAAGTCTATATGAATCAGGGTTCTAGAGCTTAGGAAGTCCAGGATCAGTGCAGTGCATATAGAAAGGGACTTCCTGCTCTATCTGGCCATGGCAGAAAGCATCACATGGCAACAGAATATGAAATAGAGTGCTTTTAAAACAAATCCTCCTCCTCAGTGATGGTATTAATCCCCTTATGACCCAAACACCACCTGTTAGGTTTCCCTAACAGGTGGTGATTGGGGCATTAATCTCCACACTTGAACTTTGGGGGACATATGCAGATTAGAGCAAACAAGAAAGAGTATGCCATGAGAAGGCAAAGTATTGTAGTCTGGCTAGAGGCTGGAATTCAAATAGGTCAGGCAGGGAGTTATGAATCAAGATAGAAACAGGCAGCAGATGAACCTGTCAGCCTTAGCAAGGACTTTGGATATTAATTTGAGTTTACATTTTTTTTTGGTCTTTTTGAGAAAGGGTCTCTCTGTAGCAACAGCTGACCTGGAACTCACTATGTAGACCAGACTGGCCTTGAACTCACAAAGATCCACATGCCTCTGCCTCCCGAGTGCTGAGACTAAAGGTGTGTGCCACCACAAGTGGCAAGTTCACATATTTTGATGCATGTGCCACTAAAATGTTTTAAGTAGGAAATTAAGATTAGCAGATTTGTGCATTTGAACAAAATGGGTTTAATATATAGCATAAACAGATACAAAGCAAATCGTGGGCTATGAAAACAATTGTGTTGGTTACTATTGATTGTGAACTTGACAGATTCTAAAATCATCTAGAAGACAAATCTCGATATGCCTATGAGGGAGTTTCTAGATTGGGTTGACTGAGGTGGGAAGACCCACCCTAAGTATGGGAGCACCATTTCATTGACTGAGGTCTTAGACTGAAGAAAAAGGAGAAAGTGAGCTGAGTAGCAGCTTTCATCTCTTTGTTCCTGAACTCAGAAGCAACATGACCATCTGACTCCTGCTACGATGACATCCCTACTTAATTGACCGTATCCCCTTGAACAAAACAATCCTGTCCTTAAGTTGCTTTTGCCAGGGAGTCCTATCACAACAAAGAGGAAAGTAATGACTACAGTTATCAAGGTAACTAACACCAGTTTTGACCTGAGACTCATAGAACAGATAGAGGAAAACGGTGCATTCTCAAGCCATGAAACACATACAACCAACAGAGTTGGCGGTTGAATTCACAAGGAACAGAAAACACAGTAAGAAAGGGATGCTTCGTGTTTCTGAGTATGGAGACTCTGGTCACTGAGATACATAATACAGAAAAATGAGCAGGTTTGGAAGGACACGATGACAACCTGAGTTTGGTCTTGCACATGATGAATTTTAAGGTATGGTATACATTCGGAAATGACTAGAAGGTTTTCTTGTGCTCAGGAAAGAAAACAGAGTTTGGGTGGAAAAAAATAAATGTTTTATCAGGATTTCCTCCTCAGGTGTCCTGATGGAGTTAAGCTCTAGAAACTCAAGTGTTGTTCATGCGGCTAATGCATGTGAATATGCAGACTAATTTATTTCCTAATCCTTCTCCCCACAAAAGTTGAATGTGATGCCTGCATTTTCTAAGAATTCTTATGCAATGTACATACAACCAACTCAGAAATATTTTATTATTCATTTATTTTCATATAAATTAACATTCTAAAAAATTGAAATAGAAACACTAAATACAGTATTGCACATAGCGATCTTTGTTAAATGCCCTATTACTTCATTGAAGAATGGTAATGTACACATTGGAAGGACAGAGGGACCAGAAGATTACAAAACAACAGAGGACCATGAAACCACTACTGTTGCTTTGCACTTAAGATACAAACTAAAAGGCAAGAGTTCATTCTTTACATAAATACAAGTATAGTTATGATTTAGAACATTATTTATCTTTTAAGTTGCCTTCCATAACTGGTTTGCAATAGCAATAAATTCTCCCCTTTTTCTACAACTGTAAATCTCAACCAATATTATTAGCAGCAATTTAAAAAAAGAAAAACTATTAATGTTATACAAAACCTCCATAATGCATTATGAGCCGTTCAAAGGAGCCTCCGAGTGGGAAACTTACCTATTTTTCCTGAAAGTAGAATGAGTAAAATCCTTTCCAAGAGTCCTTCAGAGAAGGATTCATCCTCATGTCACAACCACAAATCACCTGCTGTGCCACACGATGACAACCCGATCATGCCACAGTACTCAGGGAGGTATATTATGTAACAAGTCTAGGTAGCTTTGATTCATCCATTTATTTTCTTTTCTATTTTTATGATAACTAGTCATCAAAAAATAACTTTGACATTTTCACAAGCATCATTTATTTAAATTCATTGAAAATATCGAGTGAAACATTCTTTATGAAGTATCATAGTATATGAAACAGAGGCCTATCTTCTGACTTCATTTACCTCTGCTGCAGACAAGTTTTCCTAGGGTTCCCAGGGACATATTATGGAAAGCAACTTAAGAGTTGGGAAAGCATTGATCATGACATATAAATGGTACTTACGTCTTAAAACAGAAAGTATGTAAGTGAATGTGAAATAGACACAGTTCACCAGAAATAACATTTACCCATAAGTTTAAACACACTGCTGTGCAGTTCTGGTTGTCCATAGGAAGGAAGTGTTCTGTTGTAATGATGAAGAGAATCTCACTAAAGTAAACTGTAGGTTAAGGTTTAGCATGTTCAGAATTAATGCAGATACTGCTTCCTAGACATGCTGCTTGGGTCTGTTGGTATAATATCATAAACTTTTACAAAAAGAAAAGGAGCCCAATTCTCCACAGCTCTACTGCTTTTTGCATTTTTAAATGAGCATACAGTAAAATTCAACAAGTAACCAAGTGTCTAGAAAATATGAAGTTTATGCAGGAGGTTAAGAGGAAAATGAGGTTTCCTTCCCAGTCTCAGGTCAGGTGAACACTGTGGAAGTTGCTGTGATGACGCCCGTCAACTCCGGGGCTCAGGTTTTCATGCTTATCTTTGCTTTCTGAAATGGATACACCAGACAGATTTTTTTTAAAAGAGAAGGAGTTTAGAGCAGTCCAAGTAAGGTTGTTTCACTTACGTTCTCTATGAAAAGGTTAAAATATTAACCAATTAATTCAAGTAATTTCACCCCCCCCCCACAACTTGTATAGTTCTGTCTCATCTTTAAAAAAAAAAAAATGTTTTCATGAAAATCAATCACTAAATGCTTTGGGGGAAAATGTTTTTATAACTTAAATTCTAATATCTGTAAGGAAGTGTTAGCACAATTCTCTGATAACTGATCCCAAATACAGACACATGAATATACAAACATAGCCAGCAGGTGATTTCATGCTTAATGTGCTTTAATTATCCTCCATTCCATCTTCTATTCCATAGCATTATGATTGGGGTTAGCTAATAATCACTCAATACAGATTTAATACTGAATTTTCATCAGAAAAAAAATCAGAAGACAAACATCACTAGATAACGTTAATACAGAAAAATTGACAATAATTTCTACATGAAGATATAACTATTTCTTCACAGGGATATTTAATAAGTCAATTTGGGTTATGTTACCTAAATCTTTTCCATTTATACCATGACAACAATCTGCAAAATGCTTCAGTTTGGGCTAGAGAGACAGCTTGGCAATAAAGACTGGGCCCTGCTCTTGCAGAGGACTCAAGTTCAGTTCCCAGCTCATAACCACCTGCAACTCCAGCTAGAGAAGTTCTGACACCATCTTCTTACCTCCTTGGGCACTTGCACACACATGTGCACATACCCCCACACAGATAAACACACATACATATTCTTTAAAAATCTCAGATTTGAAAGCTTAACTTCTCATTTGAAACAGCACCTGTTCCTTACACTGGCAACACGTGATGATCTCGTCAATGAAACGTCTGCAGTACCAGAAAGGAGACTTTGTTATGGAAGTCAAACCTTTCTCACTGATGGTGTGCAACCTTGTATTTTATTTTAAAGGAGGGCTTGGTCAAGGAGGAAACTTAGAAATAGCTCTTTAAATGTTGTCCATGGGCCAGCAACATCAGTCTATCTGGGAGCACATGGCATTTCCGGTTGGGTTTTATGTAGTGAATCCCATGTCAGCCCCTTTGGGTTCAAATGCAGCCCTGGCCTGTGCGTTACTTATCATAGGAAAGGGCAGGATATCCTCCTGCCCCCCAGCAGTGGACACAGGTCACACAGATGTCCATACTTACATTTATCTTAATTCTCAAGTTTCAAATACCCAACATTGAAATTAACTCAATTACTAGGTATAGAGTAAAGACTTGAAGAGTAGACTCTTGGAATTAGAAACTCATTCTTTATCTAAACATAAGAGTAAAATAACTGAAATATTATCACATGAATTTGTATATATTGTGAAGTCAGAGTTCAAAATCCAAAGAAAATTGCAAGTTATAAACAAGAACAGTTCAATACTTACAATTCCAGAGTCATGTCTCGGTTTTATTTTATAAAGCGATTTTCCTTTTTTCTGCCTACACACTTCTTCAGCTTCTTTAACTCTGAGTTGGGGAGAATAAAACAACTTATTTAAACAGAAACACACGTAGATCACAGAAGCCCACTTTATAACTAGGGAACAAGTCAAGTTTCAATTTATTAAGGATTTAAATTATTGAGAAATCTCTTTTTCTCTTGCTCTCTCTCTCTCATCTCAAAAGAATATCACCTGACATTTGACTTTAAAACATAAACTTGGAGAAAGAGAAGCTCTTTCATGTGCAAGTTCTCAACTTGTAGGTGAGGGTAAAGGTCTTGAGATGGGTTCTATGACATAAATAAGATAAGGATTATTACATAAATCAGAAGCATTAGGATAATTAAAGAAGAACATGAAAGATTGCACATGGTCATTTAAAATCACTTCAGGTTCATTTATTATATCTTAATAATGAGTTTGATATAGAAAATGAACCTGGAGTCTTTTTTTTTTTTCTATTTTACTTTTCCAGTTTTATTAGATGGGGCCTTACTAAGTAACTCAGGCTGGCCTGAACTCAAGATCCTATTGCTTCAGCCTCCTAAGTGCTGGGATTATGGGGGTGCAACACCAATCTAGATAATATTTTTAATATTTTTCTTTGTGGATATACTCTAAGGAAAACAGCACTGGATTTATCAGAAGTACTACTTGAAAGAGGTTGCTATTGGAGATAAATTCTACATTATTTGACTTTGCTATTGAACACGATGATCATGAATAAAAGTATTACATTATGACTGCACACAGTTCTTCCAAAGGCCAGAGACTATTTCATTAAAAAATTCTTTACAAAAGAAAATAAATTTCTTTACAGAATAAAAGATTGCTAGATTGCTTACACTAAACAAATAATAATGAACCTGAAAGGTAGGGTTCAATTAATAAAAAGGGGTGTGACCAGAAGAAAAAATATCTGTCAGGTTAATTTATTTCTTGTTCTTGTGGTTTTCCTTAAGAATTAAAATAAGAGTATTTCTAGAGAAACTAAACATCTTGTGGCTTGACTGTAAGAAAATACACCTTATGCAGATCACATTTCCTGAAAGAGAGGAATGAATCTTGAATATGTTTCTTGGGCCCTGTGGCAAATGATCTAATGACAGAGAATTTATCTCCTATACAATTGACTCAGTCTTTCCTAAAGAACAGAATGTGACACTGATCCAGACCAGCTTCTCAAGTTTGATGTGCTAATTTACCTTACTGCACAGCAAGTGAACGTAATTCCTTTTAAATACAAAATGCCTGCTGGATGGGTAGTTATTAATTCCAGAAACTGGTGACAATTTAGACACTGCATTGTTACCGCATTTATTACTTTCTACCGAAGCCATAAATTGCCTTTAATCCTTCCTCCAAACATTTGAAGACAAAAACATTTTCTCTATAACAAACCAAGGACTGCATAGTCCCCATCTTCCTCTGAAATAGCTACCAGTAAATTTAAGCTTGAAGTATTTGGATAGGGAATTAAGAGAACTTTTTTCAGCATTTAGCAAAAGTCAGGATCCCCTTTTAAATTTGCTTGGAGTTCTTTAAAACATTTCATAGCATTCAAAAGAATGTACTTCACAAGTATCCAGATCCCCAAAGCATCCTCATTTTCTCTCTGCTCTACTTGCAGCATGCTTAGAACATATCTTGGTTAGGATCACAGGAAGCTAATTTTAATACAAACATGTTTAATTGTACATGAAAGAAAATCCAGTCATTCCTTATGGCAGAGCCCATGAAAACGGAGCAGGGTGTGCGTCAAGGCGGCGTCACAGGATCTTTTAGCCCATTTGTTCATTTGACAATCATTTATAGAGCAGTAACTCCAGGTCAGGCCCTGGGTGCAGCTCAGGTTTACAGGGACAATTAAACTCAACATCTATAGGTCAGAGGCACATAGAAGCAAGTAAATGACAGTGTGTGCTATGAACAACAACCTGAATCTGTATAAGGCATATATACAACTGTGTCCCAGAGAAAGTTTCTGGGACTGGTGGGCAAGGGTTATAAAAATCATTCTGGAGTATACTGATGGCAGAGACTTGTTTTTCAACAACTGAGAAATCTCAGTTGTTCATATGTTTAGAAAGGGAAACTGAGATTGATAGTGAAAGAAAAGAAATACAGCGCATCGTGGTTGAGTAAGAGTCAAAGAGCACCATACTGAACTTCAAGGACTATAAATATCCCCGTCTTCTCCTGGCCCACACCACCAGAGGCTTTCTGACTTATGCCTCAGTTTCTGGGTGCCAGTCTCTGCACCTCAAGTAGTTTTAGATATGCATACATTAGTGATTTGTGGAGCTGGAGAACTGAGTACCAAAATTAAACAGATTGCTTTTCTTCTTGGTGTACATAAGATTCATGGAGAATTTCCTTTAATGCAGGTCTCTAGATCCACTCATATTTTAGTACTGAGTCTCTCAGGGATATATGCAGAGATAGCATCAAGGAGAATGTGACACAGGGAGCCTGTGATCACTACTCTGAGAAACAGTGCTCTATAAGTGAGATACGAACACTCTGCCTGAACCTAGTTCAAAGAACAGCAACACTTCCTTGCCTGTCTCTTATAGAACAGCAAGGAAACATGCTCACTTCCACACTCTATGATTCTTCTCACTCCTGAGCTGAGCAAATGTTATTTCTACCAAATGCCAACCACATTTCAATATAACTTTAATAAGGGACTTTTTCCACACTGGAGTTAGGAAAAAATAATGTGTTCCCAGAGTTCAGATTTGCTGCCAGAAGTAGCAGAAATATGAAAAATGAGACAGGAGGGGCTGGGGATGTACCTCTTACTTACCAAGCATGCCCAAAGCCCTCGTGTAACCCTAGGCCAAACATGGTGGTACACAGCCTATAATCACAGGACTTGGGAAGTAGAGGGAGGATCAAAAGTCCAAGATCATCCTCTGCTACATATTGAATTTGAAGTCAGCCTGGGGAATATGATAGCTTGTCTCATGAAGAAATAAAAAACAAGAAGATAAAAGAAAGGCAATAAAAGACAGGGAGAGAGGAAGCGAAAGGAAAGAGAAACAGATAGAGAAACGTTCAGAAAGACAGACAGGGAAGGTGTTGGTAAGAAGAGGCCTGAGCCAGCTGTTCATAACAGTGCCTTGCGACTTGAGCTATTGGCAGAATCCATCACCTGTCATTTTAGGTCTAGTGTGTAATTGCTGTTGACCTTCAATCTCCTCTCTCTTCTGCCTCAACCCTCACTCAGTGCAGCCAAACATTTCCAAAACAAATAGGAGAAAGATGCCAGGAGGAGAAAATACTTCAAACAATAAATCAAACCCACCAATTTGTATTAATCCGCCCCAACAATGTCTTAATTGGGAAGGAGGAAGGAAATAAAAGGAGAGACAAGACTTGGTTTACAAAGAGCAAAGGCAGTCACCACAAACAGGGGGGTACACTGAGCGAAGAAACGCTGGCCCCAAACCAGTGCTTCCAAGCACTGCCTGCACTTGAGTTCAGTGTTAAAGCTTCTTCTTCTTCTTCTTCTTCTTTTTTTTTTTTTTTTTTTTACCTTGGGGAGAAAAGGGAAGAGTACAGGGGAGCTATGGATATTGTACAGAAGCACAGACAGGTCTTATGCATGACTAATGACAACTTTTTTGTAGTTTTTGAGACAGGGTCTCCCTATAGCCCCTGCTGGCCTGGAACTTGCTATGTAGAACAGGCTGGTCTCCATGTCACAGAGATCCATCGACCTGCCTCTGCCTTCTGAGTGTTTGGATTACAGGCCTAAGCCACCATGCCTGGCAGAAGATGTATTCTCTATAATAAGGTTATATTCATAGAAATGGGGACATGGACAGCTAGGTTATTTCTTAATTAAGATTTCACTCTCTAAATGAATTAAAAGGGTGGTAAAAATTTTAGGATGACAACTGTGATTGACAAAGTCATTTAAACAGTTGTTATAACCAATCAGCAATGTAGATAGTGGAAAGAAAATGTATGTAGATCAAGTCACAGGATAAGAAAAAGAAACTCCCCATTCATCATTTTTAGTGATTTTGCAACAAAAAACATAAATAATTCAAGAAGCAGGGACTAGAAAACAGGAAATGGAACATTATCTTTTAAAAGGAAGAGAGGGCTATCAGATGGTAGATAATGGTTATAAAGTTTTATGTTAATATTTTTCTATAATATCTTGGGCTCTGAAGCTTCAAAGACAAAGATGCTGCTGCAGAATGTATTTCAAAGGTGTTTCTTAAAAAGAGGACTAAGTAGTCAAGGAAAGGGTCGTATTTTCCATGTTTAAGAGAGCATTCAATTATGGGTGTTACTAAAACAATACGAATCAGGTTTGGCAAACAATAACCAATATGGGTAAAATGAATTTTGCTAAAATTTGTGTCTAAAAGTAAGATTTGGGTGGAGGGAGATAAGGGTATATGGGGAGAGAGAGAGAGAGAGAGAGAGAGAGAGAGAGAGAGAGAGAGAAAGTTTACTTGGTGGCTCATGTTCACCACTGGACATATCACTATTGTTACATGCTATGACATAGGGTCACCCTCCTAAGGCAACCTAAGTTATACAAGGTACCCGGGATAGACTTTGTTTCCTTTGTTAGTCCTGTATGCACGTTTGACTTTTTTTCTATTTTGTCCTAGGATGACAACTCCAAACTCTTCTCAGTAGGACAGTGAGTCTACTTTAAGTCAATCCTCTATCTCTGTATAACTGTGTCTATCATCTCTAATAGAGAAAACCAGATAATTAAACTGACTTAAATGGTACCTTCAAATAGAATAATCACCTGTAAAGGAATTACAAACTCCTAATACATTTATATGGAATCTTGATTCCTTTTCAAAAAGATTTGTCTATGAAGGCAGGAAGAGTAAGTCAGACATCCTGCAGTTGGGGCTACAGGTACTTGTGAGTTACCCAGTGTGGGTGTTGGGAACTGAACTTGGGGCCTTTACTAGGACAGTAAGTGCTCCTAACTGTTGAGCCATCCCTCCAACCCTAGAATCTGACTCCTTACCTACAGAGAGC